TAACAGGTGGTATAGGGGGATATTAGAGTAAAACCTAGTACTGGGTTAGTAAGTAGAGACCAGGCTCATTTGTATATAAGAGGCGGAAAATAGCCTGAATTGAAGAAGGGATGACATGCCAAGGTAAACTCTGCACTGAGCAAAAGTGATATTCTCACGAATGAGCTGTGCTTGACTGTTTTTTGAGTCAGAATAATCTCCTCCTGGGATGTGGGAGAGGGTGGTGACAGGGTGAATTGTAAGATTAAGTTCTCATTGATGCTAAGTCAAACAGTAATTGCCTGTAATATATTTGAAAGTGCAGTGAATATAATTAGACGCAGGATACCTTTCTTTCTTTCTTGTTTGATGGGTAGTGTGTAAAACGGTTTATTAAAATTGCTCTGGTTTTAGGGCAGCAGGCCTGTACTCGAAAAGAGCACATGCGTGTCTGTGTGTCAAGTTCGGAGTTTTGTGCATCTCATTGTGTGAGGTCTCCTGTGCTGCTGTGGCTCCTGCATCTTGTCTAACAGTGTGGTGGTTCCAGGCGAAGTGGCACATACACAACTGCCACAGGAACTTCTAAATGGCCCGAAGGAGCTGAGTCCCAGGGCCCTAATTCCCGTATATCTTTATGAATGACTTAATGTGTATAATGTAAGAATAATTTGTTAGCGCTGTTGTGTCTTAGTACAGTGTAGAGGTAGTTTAAAAGTATATTTGAATTGATCTTATCGGATTAATTTTATATATTTGAGAATTAGTGGTAATGTAAATATTCAAATATGTGGGCAAGGAAGTGCTCTTGTGCAGGTCATACACCTAATTGGAAAGGAAGTGTAGAATTTCTCAAGTTTTTAAAATTCCAAAGGTTTTAATGTTCACATTTGTCCTTAATTTCCTGCATGTAATTTTGTACAATGAAGGGTTCCCTAAACGTTATAAGCTTTAGGTCCTGCAAACCCTGGATCCAACCCTGGTGACGGTCCAAGACGTTTTTTACATTTTCCAAATGTGTTCTAAGAGGTGTTTCATTCCATTGAGGTGTGCTGCTATGAAACAAATCGGTATTGGTGTTTTGGCTGGGCAGTAAATAGGGACAGTATTTTTGAGTCGTGTCTGTTAAAATTAAGAATGCACCATTCTGTTGGACCTAGAAATTCCATTTTTTGATACCTATTGGAGAAATATTTATACATGTACAGAAAAGAAATCTTCAAGAATGTCTATTGCAGCATTACATTTTGGAAAATGCTCATCAAAAAGAAAATAAATAGTGGAAATCCATTTTACAGAATATTATGAATTGAAACGAATGTCTTAATACAGAAGGATCTTTAAGACTTAATTAAGTAAATAAAGGAAATGAGTATGAGCCTGTTTGTGTAAAGCAGCTCAGACAGAAAATTAAATAGATTTTCTGGACGGTTACGTGTCAACATGTAACCATGGCTACCTCTGGAGAGGAGAGTGGCATTGGGTCCAGGGCGGGAGGACTTTCTGGAGGACTTCCGCTTTGGGTGTATCATTTTCAATTTTGCATAAGCAAAATGTATTCATGTATTTTTTTCCCTAAGTCCCAACTGAGTTACTACGTTCATTTTTCAGTTTTGTGAGCTTTATAGAGCAGGGTTGATGCTGTAAAATGAACTTGTTACAGATGACCAAGACTTTTATAGTGTTTTGTCAAAAGGCCAGGAGAAGTCTAAAAATAGGAATCTAAGGTTAGCAAACTTGTTCTGGTTCGGTTCTGTGAGGAGGACGCAAGATAACTGAGTTACTGGGAAGCTGTTAACTGTGGAATAAAGTGGGACAGTTACAGAACAAAAAACATCTGGCCTTGCTGAATAAAGATAAGATTTTGTTCCACTTACTTACACATTTGGCACTGGATGATTCATTTTGAATTACAGAGCTAATTTCCAACTCTTTGAGGTGGAAGTACCTAAGACATCAGGCCTCAAACATGGAACCAGGACCACTTAAATTAATCTATGGTAGAAGCATTCTGATGGCACTTTACAATTTAGTAATAATGCCAACAGTACCATATCTAGCATGCACCATGGTAACACTTACTGCATCAGAGTGTTTGCAGAAGGGACAATAATCATTAAATTCTTATGATGCAAGCGTCTTACTTATCACGTGATCCTCACAGCCGTCCCTAGGAGTTTAGAGCTGTTGGTGACTTCACTTTACGGGGTTAGAAACTGAGGGTCAGGGAGGTTAAATAGCTGCCCGAGGTCACATGGTGCGTGGCAGAGTGGGATTTCAGCCCCAGCAGTCAGACCTCAGAGCCCGCATTCTCCACCTCTACCCTTAGAGTTGATACCAACTTGGATGTCTCATAGGCACTTCAGGTTTCACTGTAGTTCAAAACTAAACTAAAACTTTATCCCCTTGCACGCTCACCTTGATGGTTGTTTTTTGATTCTCTGTCTCATTGAATGTCATTTCCTTTTCATCCAGCTGCTGGATGAAAACCTATTGGACATTCCTGACGCCTCCTTCCAGTGCGTTCAGTCCTCAGTCTAATCAATCACTAGCTCATTGTAAATGTTACCTCTTGAATCCTTTCACTTCTTCTATTTCTAACTGTTAACCTCAGACAAACCTGTATTGCTTGGCTGGGTTGCAGCTTGTGGCTCGAAGTGTCAGTCCCTAGATACTTGGGCATGGTCTCTGCGTATACAAACCAACACCCCTGCGCCTCCTCCCCGGCCCCCGGTTGTGTATGTGTGTTTATACTACTTAAAACTCCCTCAGTGGTCGCTCCTTGTTTTTTAACAGGGCAGTGTAATGTAATGACAATACCTGGCCTGGGCTGACCTCTCCTCTCACTGCATACTCTCTTCCTTCTGGATGACAGGACCTTTCATGGGGCCATGACTATTTTATGATTGCTCCTAAGTTGCCCCTGCCTGGACTTGAGCACTCTCTCTTCTCCCGGTCCCCCTGTAATAGAGAACAAATCTGACTCCATATTGGATCGGTTCCTTTGACTTTGACCACCGTGCCCTGTTCCCTAGGCTTAGTCTTGCTAGCTCTGCACTCACGTAAAGATAACAAAGTTGCAGAATAGAGAGTAACGCTTGTTTTGTTGGAGGTTTTGCAGGAGCACCATCACCTGGCCCCCGTGGAGGGCTGCAGGAACAAAGAATTCTTGCACCAAGAAGTTTGCACCAACCAACCACAGCCCCTCCTCTGTTTTTTTGTATAAAAGGAGCCGGTATTCTGACTTGAGGAGGATGGTTTTCCAAGACATTAGTCTACCATCCTCTCGGTCTGCCGGCTTTCCGAATAAAGTCGCTATTCCTTGCCCCAGCACCTCGTCTCCTGATTTATTGGCCTGTTGTGCGGTGAGCAGAACGAGTTTGGACTCGGTAACACCCCCAGCTCCTACTCATCTTTCTAATCTCAGCTCAAATAGCTTTTCCTAACCAGCACCCCCAACCCCCGCCCCAGAAGGTATCAGTTCTGGTTACAAATTACTGGAACACCATTTAGAGCATGTAGAGCATTTTGAATCGTATATTTTAATGATTAGTTTATTGTTTGTCTTTCTTTGCTAGACTAGTTCCTTGAGGGCTGAGCACCAAAATGGGTCCTGAGTGCATCTGAATGAGTGCACATGTCTGGTTCCATCCATTCGGCTTCCTTCATGAGGGAGCTGAAGCCCGAACCCTGTAGGGTTGTCGTTCTTCCTTCCAGGGTGGAGTTGGGCACTTACTGGTTATTTAACCTCCCCAAGTCCCAGTTATTTTATCTGTTCCACAAGGATAAAGATAGTACCTACCTCTTAGGTTGTTTTGGGGATTACATGAGTCAGTAAACATGGGGCGCTGGGAACATCATGAAGTACCCAGTTAGCAGTAGCTGTTGCCATTAGTGTTGGGTCCTACCCAAGGCCGTTCGGCTGTTTAATGCGGAGCCTGCCCTGGACACCAGTTCTCCTTCATGACTTTCTCCGTGCTGAGATCGTTTGAAATTCTTGCAAATTTATTCTGCCATGAGCCAGAGTTCATCTTTGTACTTTCTTTGAGAAATGGGTTTTGCAAACTGCCTTGAGACGGCGTGTGCACGTGTGCACATTTTGTTGTCTTTAACCAATTACAAACAAGGATCAACACCACCCTCACCCGCCCCCTTCAACTAGACGGAAGGCATTTCTGATGTGGAAGGAAAATTGGTTTTATAGGACTTTGAATATCAAATTAAGGTCTTTGAAGTCAGGTATTTTGGAAATAAGAAATAATTAAAGGGTTTTAAGTAGGAGGTGAATTCTGTGCATGGAATTATTTTTAGAAAATTGATCTGACTACAGCAGTTGGAATGGAAGGCTGGATTTGGGTGACGCTCTCTGATGAAATTAGGGAAGTTAGGAGGGAGAGCTGCGCTTTGTGGGAGAAAAAATGAACTTTTATGGATTCAAGTTGAATTGCTTGTTGGACTTCTAAATGGAGGTGGCTTCAGGTTAAGTACATGGGACAGAGTCAGGAGAGAAACCTGGGAAGGAAGTACTGAAACTATGTGTGTAGTATGACTGAAAAAAGGTAATTGAGATATTAACACCTAGTATGTGAGCAAAAAGGCTGATCCTAACATAATTGTTAGCTGTTATGTACTTTTGAATATACTTGAAGGTGATGAAACTCTATTTTACGTAGTACTGTGTACGTCAGAATTTTCACCAGTCAGCACGGCCTTCCCACTAGTTAATCTGATTTAGTGATGTGCAATTTAGTAAAATGTGGCAGATTACCTTGGTTGTGTTTAAGGAGAGATAATTGAAGGAGACATGCAGTTTTGTAGTCCTTCTCTGAAAGACTGAAGAAAAGCAGTAAATATTAAGCGCTAGATTGATTTTATAAGTATGTTACATATACCACATTCTTCAAAAATATGCATCAGAAGGAAGGAAAACATGAAAATTGGGATAAAGCTCTTGACATGAACCTCATGGAGGTGGTAGATTCGTAAGTCCCAAGATAACCAGCTTGTGTGTGTGTGGGAGTCCGTAACGTGAATACCTCACTAACTCAAATGCTTGTTCTTTTTTTTTCCTTAACTAGGAATTGTGGTGCTTGGAATAAACAGAGCCTCTGCCAAAAATTCATTGAGTAAAAATCTTATAAAAATGGTGAGTGTAAAGATTCAACTGTTTGCTTCTAATATTAAGATACAGTGTTGATATCAATCTGAAAATGATTTTTCCCCTTTTCCCTCCTTACCCTCCCTGTTTCTGTTTAGCTCTCAAAAGCTGTGGATGCTTTAAAATCTGATAAGAAAGTACGGACCATAATAGTCAGAAGTGAAGTCCCAGGGATATTCTGTGCTGGTATGTAAATAGATTAAGTTTTTAAAACTGTAGTCTAATTTTTCCTTAGTGATCGCCTGTTTTCCATTATAAAGTGTTCTGTGGTTTGAATGTCATTACCAACAATTCCTCTTTGTCTGTTTTTTTACTGCTTTACAAGAAAAGAAAAATGCTTTGTCAGTATTAGAGACTTTTACAACGTGTGGAAAAGTTGTTTTGGAAGTTGAAAGAATAATTTGAGCCATTAAAATATTCCTTGCTAGTACATGAATAATATTTATGAAAGATCAACTGGGAAGGAAACATTGCGTCTTTTAGTCACAACAGTGTGTTCTGTATTTATGAGTTGTTTAAAAAATGCTTTATTTGAGTAGCAGTAGCTGCCCCAGGACAAAGTGTTAAGTATAGACATTTGCTTTGGAGATTGGTGTTTGTCGTAGTTCTCACTCAAGTATGTGTCCACAAGTCAGATTTCTAAATTGGTATCTACAGCAACGAAAGCTGGTCTGTTCTCCATTTGTGCTGTATTACCAAAAGCCAGAGATCAAGTTGCCTTGCATTTTCCATATTTGTCAGTATTTCTTTTTTGTTTTTTTTGTTTTTTAATTTATTATTTATTTTTAAAAATATTTTTTATTGATTTATAATCATTTTACAATGTTGTGTCAAATTCCAGTATAGAGCACGATTTTTCAGTTATACATGTACATACATGTATTCATTGTCACATTTTTTTCTCTGTGAGCTACCATAAGATCTTGTATATATTTCCCTGTGCTATACAGTATAATCTTGTTTATCTATTCTACATTTTGAAATCCCGGTCTGTCCCTTCCCACCCCCCATCCCCTTGGCAACCACAAGTTTGTATTCTATGTCTATGAGTCTCTTTCTGTTTTGTATTTATGTTTTGTTTGCTTTTTCTTTTTTCAGATTCCACATAT